TAATTAATAAGAAGAGTTCCAAATGCCAATATATCGTAACCAATATTCGGAAAGACTATTTCATATTCACATCTTTGTCGGCTAAGGACCTCAATATATATATATACTTGATGCAAATGAATTTGAAGTTGTTCTAACGAGTTATTTCGTATACAAAATTATTAAATGAGAAAGTAATAAATAAAGATATGAATAAAAGGATCCTTATAATTGTTGTTATATAAAAATTATCCTCGCAATTTGATTCAAGAATAAACGAATAAAAATAATAATTATTAAACGCAGCAATAATAAAAAAATGTAGACTGACTTTTTTTGAACTATCAAGTTTCCATACTGATTTAATTATTATCAATTTAGATTCAAACTAAATCAGTTAAAAAATTCCCTCTCAGCGTCAAGTGTTAATGTTTCATGCCCTTAAATTATTAATTAAAAAGCATCATTCTCTTCTATTTTCTTAGGTAGCCATGAAGAAGGAATGAGAACGATATATAATAATAAAATAAGTAGTAGTTAGTCACAGCTATATATATTTTGGACTCCTCTCTCGCATTCCCACACTCAGATTATATTTGTGAAAAAATTGACTAAACTTACCCCCATATGATGAAATGAAACATCGTACTAAGTAAAGATCGAGAGAGGCTATATCGTCACATCACTCACATCTTGTTATGTTTTACAGTAAAAAACTCTCCATCTACCTTGTGAGATGATGCATATATGGCAAGCAGACAAGGTGGGAGATTATTAATTAACCATGAAAACACAACGTGGAGAGTATGCATATTAGTTCTACTTTTATTTACATATCGTCACATAATTTAAAATATTTGATAAGAACTATGTATATAATCTAATGCCAACACTACTTAACATCAATGTGACCATGTGTTGTTATTTTGAAGGCGAGTTGCATCAACAATGATATATCTAAAGAAATTAAATAGAAATGATGACATGAAAATATATGATCATTTTAATTTTCCCTTTTCTTTTTGACACATGCTTAGTTACGTTGGTGAAACTCTAGTTAGTTGTGTTTCATCGCACTTAACTTTTTCTTCAAAAGTTGGTTGGACAAAAAGCTTACTCAAACAACCCATCATAAAGACCAAATAATGTACAAACGTCCGTTCTGTAAATTCCTATGAATGTTTGCTGATTTAAAACAGGTGCAATGAAGAATCACAAAATAATATAAGCATTGGGATGATGCTGTGCCCGTAGAAGTTTGAACAAAGGTGGAAGTATGATTTAAAAAAAAGGAAACAAGATATGGGTACACATTCACCGGCATTATATTATATTTGCTTGTAGCTCACAAATCCCAACGCCAAATTTCAGCCTACACGTACAATAGACAATACATATATAGCAATCAAAATCAGAACTGAGATGTTTGATCACAGGTTATTTCTTCTCCTTCGGTTTTCATAAATCAGAACTAAATTTCCGTCAAAGTAGGATTACTAGGTAGAAGTAGAAAAATGCTAGTATCTTCCTACTAAATGCATGTGGTTAATTTGCTGAGAGAGACCAGTAGAACTTAGGCCCTTAATATAATACTGCCGTTTGGCTTTCAAAATGCATGTAAAGGCACAACTTAATGAGCGTGTATATCGCTTATTTTATTCAAACGTGAAAAATAAGATACAAGGATCCATACACTATTACAATAGGCAAACAGAAACAAATTGTTACAGAGACAATAATCCAATCAACACATGAAATGTGAATGAATAGCCTTTTTTTTTTGTCTCAACTATATATATATTTCTGTTTATAACTGTTTCTGAATAGCAGCAATTATGTTCTTATCCACTTGAAAAGCCTTTGTGAGGACTTCAGCGGAAATTGGAGGGTCTGATTTGAACACAGCATTGGCAATGGTGATGACTCCTGCATTCTGACTGCTCAAACCAGCAATGGCCACTGCATTTTCATAACCCACATTGAGTTGGAAGTGAATCAGACCAATTGGGAACACAAACACGTCTCCCTTGTGCAGTACTTTGGTAAATAAGCGATTCTCTGGGTTGGACGTAACAAAACCCACCAGAAGAGTACCCTCCAAAACCACAAGAATCTCAGTGCCTCGAGGATGGGTGTGTGGAGGGTTTAAGCCTTTTGGAGCAAAGTCTATGCGAGCCAACGATATGCCCAAAGTATTGAGCCCTGGGATTTCGTTTACAGCAACTGGACTCACTGCTGATCCGAGTGGACCGGATGTGTCTCCTTGTTTCAGTCCGCCGTAGAAGAAATCATTGGCAGAGACAAGCTTGGGATCTTTGCAGAACTTCCCATTCACAAAAACTGCATGTAAAAATAAAGGAAAGATGATGTGTCATATGTCATAATGGAAATGGAGTTAGGAAAGCTGATCATTAATACGTACCACCACCAGCTTTGGTTTCGTTGATGGCAACGCAGAAGTCTTGAAGTGGGCTAGGATCAAAAGCAAAGACAGCAGAAGATGAGAGAGCCAAGAAGGCAATAAGGATCAGGCAACAAGCTTTCATGTTTTCTCTTTGATCTGATATAGCAAATCTTGGTTTTTTGTGTGCAATTTGCTGATTGTGAGGGATGAGATCGCTGCATGGCAGAGAGCTGTATTTATAAGCTGCAGGTGGAGGCGTTGATCTGGTCGATATTTTACTTGCACGAAGACGAACAAGACCAAGTCCGTTTTAATTTTTAACGACGGTGAATATTTTATTAGTGAAGTATCTTTACCAAACGCCTGAAAATAGTTGGAATTTTTCTCTCTGCCTTAATTTCCTCTCAGAGTATAAATTGTGCCGCTTGTCAAGTGCTAAGGTTGTTGAAGAAACGTTCCAAATGTTAATACCGTAACGTAGGATGTTCTGAAGGGAAGACCATTTCATATTCACACATATTTGTCGGCCAAGTACCTCAATCGCTATAAATCTTTCTTTTTATCATTGAAAAGAAAAAAGAAGCCAAAGCCTACTAGCTCAAGGGCACAAACTGGTGACTATTTGCATTGCATATCAAAGGCTACTCGTATAATTTTATAGTATACAAAATAAATATATAAAAGAATTTATTTCAATTTATAAAAAAAAATATTTTTAAAAAGTACTTTTGACACCCTCTCAATAATAAACAAATAAATATTACTAAAGACAAATAAAAAATGTAAATTATAATAAACAAATAAAAGTAAATATTATTAAACAGAAATAACCAAAAAAGAAAAAGTTATCACTAGATACTTTTTTTAACTATCTTAAACTGAGTTGTTGGGTGTGTGTGTGTGTGTCTATATATATATATATATATGAAACGTTGAAGTTAGAATTAATATAGTTTTTTTATTGAATGAATTATATTCTTCAACGGCTACAGCTTCAAGCAAGGAACTTTTATTGTCTTGTGTTTTCTGCCTTTCCTCAACATCACAAAATATATATTGTCAAAACACACGTAACAAACGGCTGATATAGTCAATTCTGAGCAATAATTTACAGCAAACAATACGGCCTAAGTACTTTTACGACTTAGTTTGCTGTTCAGTTGAATGAATTACGTGCGTTTGTCTATAGATTATTTGAAGGGAAAATTACAATAAGGTCCCATCCAAAAGAATTAAATGCAAAAAAATCTCTTAAAATCATTAAATTATTTTGAAGTTTTAGGGGACCTCATTACCAAAAATTCTATTTGCTTAATTGCCAAATTACTTTTTTTTTTTTAAGTTTGCATTGACAACTTAAGATGTAACGATTACCAACTGTCACGGCAGGTATTGACAATATATTTTCTCAGCACATCACAAAATGTAATGTATTTGTCAATACCTGCCGTGATAGTTGTTAATCATCATATCTTAAGTTATCAACAACCGCTTTTTCAGTTGTCAATGCAAACTTAAAAAACAAAAAAAGGTAATTTGATAATTAAACAAATGAATTCTCTTGCTAAAAAGTCTCCTGAGACTTCAGAATAATTTAATAATTTCAAAAGACTTTTTGGTATTTAATTCTCTTAGGTGGGACTTTGTTGTATTTTTCTATTATTTTTTAAACGTGTTTCCCACTCAAGTTTGATAAGTTATTATCTCTGGAACGGTTCATGCTTGTCTCCATCGACCGAAACCGGTTGAAAATCGAAGAAATCTATGACTTGGTTTTGTAAATTGGAAGCATTTCCACGTAACGACAAGTAGTCCAGACTGATGGATGCTACTGAATTAATTAAAATGCATGATGCATCATAACCCAAGTAATCTCAGAGTCACTTATCATTAATCCAGTCTCCGGAGCATAATTTAATTAATGCATTTGTTTCAGAAGAATATATGCATAAAATAATATATATGTGGCTGTTGTTTCAAACAATACTTCTGAACAAAAAAACAAGAAATGATATATTTTTTCTCATCTGTTCCTTCACTTTTTAACACTACATATACTAAAATTCACAAAAATAAATAACAGTTGTGAGAACATCCTGCATGTGTAGAAGTTCGATCAATATTGTGAAGGTAGAGAAGTATGATCAAAGCAAAGATGGATAAATAATCACCTTCGCTTTGTTTAATTTGTAGCACACAAATAAAGTTTAACACTAAATTACACTCTATATTCACCAAACTGAGGGATAACATCTGACAACAGATTATTTGTTCTCCTTTCTGTTTTCTAAATCAGAACTAATTTTCTGTTGTGGTAGAGTTACTTTAGTACGTAGAATTGGGCAGAAAAATGCTAGATCTTCTTCAGAAATGTATGGATGTGATTTGTAGAGATCAAAAGAATAAACTTTAGCCCTCAATAATAATATTGCTGATGGCTTGGTTGCATTCATTGATATATATTTTTAATTTCAACATATATGCATATATAAAGGCATAATTAACTTAATGTGCGCATATATCGCTTATTTTATTCAATCATGAAAAAAAAGATACAAAGAACCATTACAACAAACATTACTATCTATAACTCAAATGAATGATATTAATTTTCTATCTATAACTGTTTCTGAATAGCAGCAATTATGTTCTTATCCACTTGAAAAGCCTTGGTGAGGACTTCAGCGGAAATTGGAGGGTCTGATTTGAACACAGCATTGGCAATGGTGATGACTCCTGCATTCTGACTGCTCAAACCAGCAATGGCGACTGCATTTTCATAACCCACATTGAGTTGGAAGTGAATCAGACCAATTGGGAACACAAAGACATCTCCCTTGTGCAGTACTTTGGTGAATAAGCGATTCTCTGGGTTGGACGTAACAAAACCCACCAGAAGTTTTCCCTCCAAAACCACAAGAATCTCAGTGCCTCGAGGATGGGTGTGTGGAGGGTTTAAGCCTTTAGGGGCAAAGTCTATACGAGCCAACGATATGCCCAAAGTATTGAGCCCTTGGATTTCGTTTACAGCAACAGGACTCACTGCTGAGCCGAGTGGACCAGATGTGTCTCCTTGTTTCAGTCCGCCGTAGAAGAAATCATTGGCAGAGACAAGCTTGGGATCTTTGCAGAACTTCCCATTCACAAAAACTGCAAAATAATAAAGGAAAGACGTTGAGATGCGTGCTTTTCACAATGGAAATGGAATTAGAAATGGGCGGGGAAGAGAAAGCTGAGAACACTATACGTACCACCACCGGTCTTGGTTTCGTTAATGGCAACACAGAAGTCTTGAAGCGGGCTAGGATCAAAGGCAAAGACAGCAGAAGACGAGAGAGCCAAGAAGGCAATAAGGATCAGAGTCTTCATCTTTTCTCTGCTGATAGAGCAACTCTTGGTTTGTTTCTGCTGTATAAATAATTTGCTGTTTGTAAGGGATGAGATCGTTGCATGGCAATCAGGTGTATTTATAAGCTGCAGAAGGAGGCGTTGATTTGGTCTATTTTTTAAAATTTACACGAAGATCGAGCAAGACTGAGTTTTTGTTTTAATTTTTTAACGGACTATGAATATTTTATTAATGAAATAACTTTACGAAACACCTGAAAATAGTTGGAATTTTTCTCGTTGGCGGCTTAATTCCTTCTCGAGAACAAATTGCGCCACTTGTCGAACCATGAATAGTTAAACACTGAATGGCTGGTAACAAGGTCTTAATTAATTACCTAGGTAAGATTTGGCTGCCGATTGAATTTGAATATGTCTCTCTCTCTTTTTTAATTATTTATTTAATCAATTAATGTGCCAAAATGCCCATATATTTATTATTAATATTATAAAATGTGAACGCGGCTATACTATATTATGAATCCGGCCGGATAATTCATATGCCGGGGTTGTTGAAGAAAAGTATGAATTGGTTTGGTTAATATAATTAATAAGAATAAGAAGAGTTCCAGATGCCAATTATCGTAACCAATATTCGGAAAGACTATTTCATTTTCACATCTTTGTTAGCTAAGTAACTCAATATATACTTGATGCAAATGAATTAGAAGTTGTTCTAACGAGTTGTTTGGTAATTGGTACACAAAACTATTAAATATGAAAGTAATAAATAAAGATATGAATAAAATTATCCTTATAATTGCTGTTATATAAAAATTATCCTTCCAATTTTATTTAAGAAACGAATAAAAATAATAATTATTAAAAACAACAATAATTTAAAAAAATCTATCAATTTAGACTTTTTTTGAACTATCAAGTTTCCGTACTATTTAATTACTATCAATTTAGATTCAAAATAAATCCGTTGAAAAAATTCCCTCTCAGCATCAAGTTTTAATGTTCATACACTTAAATTATTAATTAAAAAGCATCATTTTCTTCTATTTTCTTAGGTACCCATGAAGAACGAATGAGAACGATATGTAATAATAAAATAAGTAGTAGTTAGTCGCACTTATTTTGGACTTGTCTCTCGCATTCCCACACCCAGATTATATTTGTGCAAAAATTGACTAAACTTACCCCCATCACCCCATGTGATGAAATGAAACCTCGTTCCAAGTAAAGATCGAGAGAGGCTTTATCGTCACATCACTCACATCTTATTATGTTTTACAGTAAAAATTTCTTCATCCACCTCGTGAGATGATGCATATGGCAAGCTGGCAAGGTATGTGAATATTAATTAACCATGAAACCACAACGTCGATAGTATACAGAAAGTAGATTTTTTTTTTTTTGATACACCACAGAAACTGGAAATTAGTTCTACTTTTATTTATGTATCGTCACATAATTTAAAATATTTGATAATTAAGAACTACTAGTATATATATAATCTAATGCCAACATTATTCAACATCAATGTGACAATGTGTTGTTATTTTAAAGGCGAGTTGCATCAACAATAATATATCCAAAGAAATTAACAAGAAATGATGACATGAAAAAATATCATTTTTTAATTTTTCCTTTTCTTTTTGACATATGCAGGTTACGGTGACGAAACTATAATTAGTTGAGTTTCACTGCACTCAACTTTTTCGTTAAAAGTTTGTTGTATAAAAAGCCCATCCAAACAACTCAGAAACTTCAAAAATTGATGTCCATGTGCTTTGCGAGTTCCTAGGCATGTTTTCTGATTTACAGAGATCCAAGGGGGTTGCAATAAATAATCACAAAATAATTAAGCATTGTGAGATCCAATAGACAATACATATATACTATCTCTATTCCTTAATATAAAATATTATTTGATTTTTATTTTAATTCTAAATATAAGACCCTCGTCTATTTTGTCTCTTATATTTATCTATTTTTTTTCAAAACAGTCATTATAATAATGATAGTTCTAGTTAATAAATTTGATTAATAAAGATATTTTAGGAAAGATAGCACCTATTTATTATAAATAACTAATTTAACTTATTTTCTTAACTTACTCAAATTAGTCAACTAGCTTTTATATTTGTGACCGGAAGTAGTAGCAATCAAAATCAGAACTGACATATATCTTTGATCACAAGTTATTTCTTCTCTTTCGGTTTTCATAAATCAGAACTAAATTTCCGTTGATAGGGTTACTTGGTAGAAGTAGAAAAATGCTAGTATCTTACTGCTAAATGCATACGCTTAATTTGCTGAGAGAGACCAATAGAACTTTGGCCCTCAATATAAAATTGCCGTTTGGCTTTCAAAATACAAGTAAAGGCATAACTTAATGAGCATATATATCGCTTATTTTATTCAAACGTGAAAAATAAGATGCAAGGATCCATACACTATTACAATGGCAAAGAGAAACAAATTATTACAAACAATAATCCAATCAATACATGAAATGTGAATGAATAGCTAGTTTTTCTTTCTTCAACTATATATTTTCTATTCATAACTGTTTCTGAATAGCAGCAATTATGTTCTTATCCACTTGAAAAGCCTTGGTGAGAACTTGAGCAGAAATTGGAGGGTCTGATTTGAACACAGCATTCGCAATGGTGATGACTCCCGCATTCTGACTGCTCAAACCAGCAATGGCCACTGCATTTTCATGACCCACGTTGAGTTGGAAGTGAATCAAACCAATTGGGAACACAAACACGTCTCCCTTGTGCAATACTTTGGTAAATAAGCGATTCTCTGGGTTGGACGTAACAAAACCCACTAGAAGTTTTCCCTCCAAAACTACAAGAATCTCAGTGCCTCGAGGATGAGTGTGTGGAGGGTTTAAGCCTTTAGGGGCAAAGTCTATACGAGCCAACGATATGCCCAAAGTATTGAGCCCTGGGATTTCGTTTACAGCAACTGGACTCACTGCTGATCCGAGTGGACCAGATGTGTCTCCTTGTTTCAGTCCGCCGTAGAAGAAATCATTGGCAGAGACAAGCTTGGGATCTTTGCAGAACTTCCCATTCACAAAAACTGCATGTAAAAATAAAGGAAAGATGATGTGTCATATGTCATAATGGAAAAGGAGTTAGGAAAGCTGATAATTAATACGTACCACCACCAGTTTTGGTTTCGTTGATGGCAACGCAGAAGTCTTGAAGTGGGCTAGGATCAAAAGCAAAGACAGCAGAAGATGAGAGAGCCAAGAAGGCAATAAGGATCAGGCAACAAGCTTTCATGTTTTCTCTTTGATCTGATATAGCAAATCTTGGTTTTTTGTGTGTAATTTGCTGATTGTGAGGGATGAGATCGTTGCATGGCAGCGAGGTGTATTTATAAGCTGCAGGAGGAGGCGTTGATCTGGTCGATATTTTACTTGCACGAAGACGAACAAGACCTAGTCCGTTTTAATTTTTCAACGACGATAAATATTTTATTAGTGAAGTATCTTTACCAAATACCTGAAACTAGTTGGAGTTTTTCTCGTTGCCTTAATTTCTTCTCAAGAGTATAAATTGTGCCGCTTGTCAAGTCTTGAGGTTGTTGAAGAAACGTTCCAAATTTTAATACCGTAACGAAGGATACAATAATCTGAAGGGAAAGACCATGTCATGTTCACGCATCTTTGTCGGCCGAGTACCTCCCCCGGCTATAAATGTTTCTACTACCTCTCTCTGCTTCTTAATAAATATAAAATGTCAATCTATTTTATCTCTTATATTTATCTATTTTTTTAAAAATAATTCCTGTAATAATAATAATTCTAACTAATATATTTGATTATTAAGAATATTTTAAAAAAAACAATACATATTTATTATAAATAACTAATTTAAATAATTTTTTTAATATATTTAAATTAATTAATTAGTTTTTATATTAAGAACCAGAGCTAGGATTTTTCGTTGAAAAGAAAAAAGAAGCCAAAGCCCAGTAGCTTACGGGTACAACCGGTGACTACTTCCATAGCATGTCAAAGGACAAAGGCTACGTATCCCAAGCACTGCTCAGTAATAAACAAATAAATATTATTACCAAAGACAAATCAAAAAATGTAAATTATCACTAAACCAAAAAAAGTAATAAACAAATAAAAGTAAATATTGTTAAACAGAAATAACCAAAAAAAAATGTAAATTATCACTAAAGACTTTTTTTCACCATCTTTCTATACTGATTTACTATGAATTTAGATTCAAATTAAATTATTTAAAGAGAATACCTCTCAGCTTTTACACCCTTAAACAGCATCATTATCATATTTTTTCACAAACTATTATACCTGACTTGCAAGTCACATTTGTTATAAATAATTAATTAACATCTAACTTTCTTAATTTATCCAACCAAATTTATTAAATAGCTTATAATGAGAATTGTAGAGAATTACATATTAACTGTACGAATTGGATTCCAATCCCCATGTGATGAAGTGAGAACTCGTTCCAGGAGAAGACACTGGTTATCAAATCTCAGTACCAACATTTCTTCCATAATTTACGGCACCGATTTCTTCATCTTCCCCCGCGCAATGGATGAGGATAACTAACTAACTAACTAACTAACTAACTAATATTAAGAAGGCAAGCCGAAGCTTCAGTGCTACAGAAGGTAGTTACCTACCCAATACAAAACATCACAGGTCACTGGGCCACCTGACCTTGCCCCGAATCAAAGTACCCCATACAGCGATTTGGGATATCCTGTAGGCAGCATACTAACTATATTTAAACGGCATAACTAAAACGGCCCAAGTCGTTTTAAAAAAATCCACTATCACTTATTTGAATATACATAGTGCCAAAAAAAAAGTAAACAGATGAGTCTCAGATATGCAAGGCAAAAGACCAGTTTCAAGTCTCCAACAAAACAAATCGAGAAAGAAATAAAAGTCAAAGCATCCAATGTGGCACAATCCAATCATGAAGCAAGCCTCCTTCCTTTCCCCTAAATTTTTACCCAGGAACAAGTGGTGCTTCTATACATGTAGATATACGTCAATTTCCCTCTTGCTACCGACCATACCACCCTCTTGGCTGGATATCACTTTCGTTCATAAGCTTATCCAGCACTACATTGAGGTCAACTGCTTGACCATTCTCTGTTAGCTTTCGAACTGTTGCCCTCACATGGTCTCTAGGGAATCCCATACTTGCCACTTTGTCAACCACATCATCTATGGGGACCCGATTTCCACTTCCACCAGATCCAGAACTGCTACTTGCCGCTGACGCTGTAGGCAATGCATGGGGCAGCACACGAGCAGTAGGAAGCTGAGGGTAACCACTTCCTCCACTTGGAGGAGCCACAGCTGAGGGAGGCAGCTGTGGTTTTAGCCCTGAAGTGCCACCATACTGAGGCGATCCACCGTAATGATATGGCTCAGCAGGTAGAGATGGTGCACTATACCCAGAAGAAAAACCTGAACCAGATCTACTAGAGAGCGGTTCAAAGGCATGGGATGGCGGTCCATAGAATTGCTGGGCAGGAGGTGGCCCACTGGGTGGTGGCTGGGATGGTGGTTGGCGGACATTGGGTGGATAATTCTGAGGAGGAATATAAGACGCATCCTCCACATGGTGACCCATTGAAGATGGGAGTTGAGGCGGGGGACTGACAGGAGAAGGTGATGGCTGCTGTTGAGGTGGATGAGGTACAGGCTGAGGGTACTGAGGTTGAGGGTTTTGTTGATATTGCTGCTGTGGAGGTGCCCCAGGAGGAGGAAGAGGCTGTTGAGATAAAGGCAATTGGTATTGCTGATTTGGGGTCTCGTGAGATTGAGGTGGTGGTTGGAAGTAAGGTTCTCGCTGAGGAACAGAAGGAATTTGGGCCTGAGGAAATTGATTAGGAAGTTGAACTGGAGGTGGCACACCCTGTTGGGACAGAGGTTGAGGAGGAGCATTAGGGTGAGGGACCGCAGCAACTGATTGTGGAAGATTAACAGGGGAAGGAAGCTGTTGTTGCAATTGCTGAGAAGCCGATGCAGTTTGCTGTACAGGATCTGTAGTTACACTAGCCTGAGTTTCTGAATGTTGGTCCACCTTGGACACTTGTAGCTTTGCCAGCTGCAGTTGAGCTCCCATCACATCTTGCTTATCCTTTAAAACTTGTACACCCATTTGCACCTGTACATTTTGTAAAACTTTTCGTCAAACAAGGTAATGAAAAAGGAAAGTAACCCGGTAGTTACTTTACAAGTTTTTTCCCATGAACTTATATGCATTAGAAACGGGAGGAAGAACAAATTGAGGATAAGAAATTCTAAAATCAGAAAATAAACACAGCGAACAGAACAATGAGACAAAAGGCCCAGGAAGATGACTACATAAAAGAGTTGCCCAATCTCTTTGCATATCAGAAATGCAGATTCCCTTGAAGAAAGCCATGAGCCTAGCTCAAAGCAAAGTCATTCTCATGGCTGAAACTTAGAATTTCTCAGGGAGGAATTAGAGGGAGGAAAAAAGAAGAAGAAGAAGATAAGAGAACCAACCCATGGCCAGAAATAAATTATCAAACATGAGCGAAATCAAAGAATACAATTACAATCCGGAAAGAAATCACCCACCATCCGTTTGTCAGCCAGAATACTATATACTAAGATCAAGAAAAAGAAAGTCAGGGGACAGGCAAAATTCATATTTGCATAGTTGCTAAGCTTCTCGTACAACAACATACCATTACTTGCTTAGGCAAAAATACATTGAGGGGGTGTTTGGGCACCATAAAAAATGCTTCTTAGAAGCACTTTTCTGCAAATCGAAATAAACTCCTCCACATATTTACTTCGTATACTGTAAAAGCACTTTTAAAACCATAGTTTTGATTCCGTCCAAAACACCCCCTGAATCAGAAAGGGCAATAGAAAATTTTTGGATTTTTTTATTCAACGAGAAAGTTGTTCGGGAAAATTTAGAGGCCCAGGAAAAAAAATTATTCAGGACGAGGATGATATTATATAATTATACCCAAATTACCATTACTTTCCAGTGCTGATTTGGGTTGGGAAAAAATGCTAGTCAATACCTATTAAGCAGTTGAACCAGGAAATATTTTGAGAGATCATGGTAGTCAAAATTGTTAACATCCATAATTCTTACTAGCGTGATTTTTCCAGAACTCGCAAATATCATGTCCTTTCCATCCACCATAGGCATTCATTATCATCAAATGCCGCTAAATCAAAGCTATAACTAAGAAGAGTGAAAGGGAATAATATGATTACAAAAAATACCTCTCTAAGGATATTCTCAAGCTGTCTCATTTTCCCATCAGTGCTACCATGGTTGTTTCCAACAGACACCTTCAACTCATCCACAGAATCTTCAAGATGGTTGGTTCTGCTTTCTAGTTGTGTTAATCTTGCACCGATGCCTTCCAGCACATGAAGCAAATTGTCCATATGCTTCTTCATGGTTTGATCTATCTCAGACAGTATTGCAGCATCAAAGGCATTTTGATCCTTTTCCACTGTGACTTTTGCAGGTTCAAGAGAGTCCAGAGAATTATAATTCTGCACAACGGAAGGAAAACAGCTTAACATTAAGAGAAGACATTAAATCACGATCATAAAAACATATAATCAACATATTATCCAAGTACACGAAACCCTGGAACGCTGAGAAAATTTTTTTGGCAATACAAAATGCGTGCAATAGAACTAGATAGGCACAAAGCAAATTCATGCTCAATAAGTGGCCCGCATATGAAACCTATTTCAAGATCAAAATTAAAAAAGTAGCACGAAGCCATCAACAATTCGATCCAGACGTTAACTCTTATTTTAAGAAGTTAGTAAAAACACCAACATGAAAGTAACCACATTCAGTTCAGAGTATCAGCTATCAGAGACAAGCACCCAAAACAAATTACCAAACGATGCAAGCCTTTATTCATAGAATATGAGTAAATTAGGGCAGGAGAAGGGGGTTCTTACTCTAAGGATTGGGGTGGAAAAGTTAGACTTGGAGTCAGAATTCCAAGACCTCGAAATCCCTCCCATATTAGGGCTGGAATCGTGATTGGAAGACTGGGTCGAAGCTCCGAGTGGGCGAATCGGCTGGAAATCGTAACTGGGAATGATATCCTCCTTAATCCCATTACCACCGATTTGGTGGTGGCTGCCACGGCGAGCTTCACCTTCTGCGTCTGCCTTTTCTTCCTCCTTAGGACGGCTCATCAGGTCGATGAAATCCTTGCTCGAAGACGATCCTTGGGTTAGATCCATAATCTGCTTATCCATGAACGGTGTCGTATTCATGGATTCCCAGACCGCTCTTCACACGCAAAACCAGTAAAACAGAGATGCTAGGCTATTTAATTTTGAAATTTTCTGGGCTTTTCTTCGGGGAGAAGCTAGTGTTGCTGTTCGTGTGAGATAAACGGAAGAACCCGACAACCACGGCTCAGTGATGATGCCGACGTGAAAGAACCAAACCTTCAATGTACTCTTTCAGGCCAGAACAATAGTTCCGCGGACTCGCCCAAGGTTTTTCCCTTCTGTTTTTTTTTTTCCAAAGGCTCGCAAGGCTTTTTCACTTCGTTTGCTCTGTTATTTAATTATGAGTTAATTAATCCACAACTCCTTATAATTTTAATAAATTTTGAATCAGGTTTTTATAATTTTTTTTTATCAGGTCTTTATACTTTTATTTTTTTTTAATTAGGTCTTTGTATTTCTTTTTTTAATTAAGTCCTTATAATTTCACTAAATTTTTAATCAAGTCCATGTAGTTTTAATTTTTATTTATTAATTAAATATAAGCTTAATTAAATAGATTAATACTGAAATATTAAATATTAATAATTAAATTAAATTAATAATTATGTAATAAAAAGTAATAGAATTAATTAATTCAGGAAATTTTTTAGAACAGTTAATTTTTTTCTGAAAAAATTAAAATCATTATAATAATTCAATATCTTTAGAATATTATTGTCTATAAACTAATATTAAATAATATATACTATTTTATTTTTATATAATAGTACTATTAGAATTTATAAAATAAAGAATAAAAAATTCAGGGACTTAATTAAAAATAAAGTGAACTTATAAGGACTTGATAAAAAGAAAAATAAATACAATAACCTAATTAAAAACAGGTGAAAGTATAAGGACCTGATAAAAAGAAAAAAAACTATAAGGACCTGATTCAAAATTAGTTGAAACTATAAGGAGCTGTGGATTAATTATCCCTTTAATTATTTACGAAATTACGAAATATTTAACAAAGGTAATTATCAACAACAAAAAAGCTGGATGAATTTAAAAAGCATGTCTAATATACAATCATTTTATCATTTTTTTTCGAGTAAAAATGTAGGTAATCATCTTTGTTGATTCCCCTAGTCAAAAAAATATTATTATTGATTTTAAATTTTATTATTTGGATTTTTTACTTACACAATTAACCCCCTCCCCTGCAGAAAAGGAGGCTCACACACCCATGCATTTTAGTTCTTGTGAGTATAGAACCCACAACAGAGGAGGTGTGAAGTGTCATTGAACTAAGAAGTCCTTCACTTGATGAATCAAATTTTAAGACACTTTCTACCTGATTTATCTTGATTTAATTTTAAATCAATTTTAGCGTGAATTAAATGTGCATTGAGTAAGACAACAGAAATTGACCTCATTAGTTTAAGTTTAACCATCAGGAGTTGGGTTTGGAAAGAAAAAATACATAGAAAGAAAATGGATTAGATAGATAACTGTACATTTTTTGGGTCAGAGATAACTGTAATTTTTTTTTCCTTAGAATATAGGTATCTTCTTATTCGAAAAAATATGTAAGAGCACCTTTCTTAGATAACTGTAACTTGACGAAAGAGACTTTGGACCTTGAGTGGCACTAATGGAATTTTTGTCGCCGCTGTCTGTTTATGGTAAGCCCAACAACTTAATTGGCCCAGAAAGAGCCCACTAACTTAGCTCTAAAGGTTAAGGGCCGACCATTAGCAGCCCATATGTGTGTGTATGTGTTGTATTTTCCATTTCTTTTTCTTTCGAAAACACTCAAATCATGGTTTCAAAAGTGATTTTATGGTCTATGAGGTCTATGAGGTAAATATGTGAATGAATTTATCTTAATTTACAGAAAAGTACTTCTGAGAAACACTTTTCAGGATATCCAAACACTCCCTAGCAAGCCGCAGGGTTTAATGTAGCCTAATATTAAAAAGTCGAACTCTTATCCGAGAGCAGTCGATTTTCCAAATGTCTTGAGAATATGCCTAAATTACACAGCTCCACGTCTTACTAAACCAATGAAATAAAAACGATGACCATTCCTGCAATATAAGGTGCAGGAACTATAACATTACTGGATCAAATACGAGGCTGATTGAAGAGATATTCATAACTTCGAACTCCAAGTCTGCCATTTCGGTTAAACAAATCTATAAGATTTCGGGCCAAATAGTAAATAACACCACGAATTACAAACAATATTCAAATCACTTGTTCACGAGATATAAAAGAACACCACTTTAGGCAAGGGATAAAAAAGGCCCCCCTAATCAAAATCACTGTCTATTAACAATCATGATTGAAAACAAAATAATAATAATAATCAGTATTTCTTGACACCCCATATTCAGAATGTGTACTGAACCAGGGAGAGTCCGGAAGAACCAGGCCATGGTACTCGAATTACGACCATGCCCTCTTCATATTGAAACTCAACTTCTTTCCCATCAATCCTGCAAGCTTTTGGCCTCTCTGAAGCAAAAACCCTCATCTCTCCACTACCTTTCACTCCCACTTCAGCCACGCTCTGGTCTTCATTAAAAGCCAGCGACTGAATAGCCCCTCCGGTGTTCAGCATGTTCACCAAACCAATCGGAGCAAAATGGACAGATTTCCCGGACAAGACGGTCACCGGAGAGACAGTAATGAGCTCGAAATTGAAGGGCTCCAAGGAAATTTCAACAGCATCGGATGGTTTTGACAAGATGACCTTCTTGGTCTGATGGAAATACATGGCAAAAACCTGCACTCCTTCGATGGAAATGCCGAGGTTGTCGCCATTCTTCCACTCTATATCCTGAGGCTTTGTCTTGGTTGACACCAAATGCGAACATTCAGCAGCACATTTGGTGGTTCTGGTTTCAGGAAACCACCCTCCTCCCTGGCAGTTAAAAACCCCGATCACCCCAGTGAACTGTTTCAGCAAGAGAACCGTGAGATTCTAGAAGGGACGTGTTTTGGTTAGATTAACAAGAGCAACATGGGAGTGAGACAGACCTTATTGAGGTTCCATATCTTGAGCATGGTTTTGCCATCATGGAGGGGATCGGAGAAGAGACAGTCTCGAGTGGGAAGGGCGTAGTGCTGGCACCTGAGGATGGAGCCATCAGGGAGGACGAGGGTCTTGAGGAGGTCGAAGTTGTGCTTGCCGACGGAGTCGCTGACGTAGATGGGTCCGCCGGAGATGGCTCGAGAGGCGGCGTGGAAGGCGGCGCAGGGGTGAGTGGACTGAAACATGTCCCAGTCCGGGTGGATGAAGTTGCCCATCCACAAGCTGTTGTAAGCACAGTGCACCATATGGCATCCTTGCAGCCAAAACGTACCGTTTGGATCACCGTAAGGGTCAGTGCACCAGAAATCATCCCCTGCTCCACACAAATCAACGATGACACACCGATCATAACAATCCAAAATGAATTAAAAGTGTGAGGTGGGAAAGGGACGTACCGACACGACCGAGAGATATGGCTTCAGTTCCAAGTAACATGAAATCGTTACAATGCTCCATGCTGGCAATCACACCGTTGCCTCCGAAATGTTTTCTCACTGAAGCTGTGAGCGCCTTGTAGTATGCTTTCGCCAAATCAACACGTCCACCGTATTTCTCACACACCAACTCCAACAACTGTTTTCCATATTCATTAGAATCAATGTCCCGTTTATTTAAAAAGGGGGGGGGGGAACCACATCAATGAGATTTCGTGCCGACCAAAAAGGGTCAAAGTAAAAGTAAAACCAAAACCAAGGGATTTAAAAGAAAGAAAGGAAAAAAAACAAGTAATTGAAGTTAAAATGAACTAGAACTAGAATTCTCTCGCATCGTATTGTGAGCTGTACATTAAAAAGCAGACACATGCACGGAGATGAGATGAGAGACGGCCTACAGCTTGCCGCTTCAATTTAAGCCTCAAGAAAGCTTTAAGATTTGACACGTAGGGGCACACAATTACTTAAAAGTGACACCTCTCCACCTCACAAGAGCGGTCGATTTTTTTTGGGCCATTAGAAAGGTAGGTTTAGAATTAAACAATAAGTTGACAAATGAAAATGGAATTGTAATTAGTAACTTACATGGATGACATCGACCTTCACCCCATCTATGCCGGAGGCCTCCAAGTGGGAGTGAAGCCCTTCGTACATCTGATCGACCATATGCGGGGGGGCCAGGCCCACACCATTATTCACGATCTTGTCGACGGCCAAATCCTCCATCGTCGTCTCCAGTCCCGGCGACAATTTGGGCTTCTCCACCACACATTCCGGCAGCCCTGGGACGTTGGGCCTGAGCCCACCCCAGTACCCACAAAGCGCGTGCCACACGTAAACGTAATCAACGGTCTTAAACTCCTCTTTCAAATCCTTCACGAACGCACCCAAACCTTTTTCTCCTGAACAACCTGACCTTTTGGGACTCACGTATTCTCTGAACTTGTAATTCTCTTCGTACTTGATGAGCCTGCATGGCATTTGCTCGCCGGCGACGGTGTGGTTCATGCCTTCTTTGGCTATCGGGTCCCGGTCGTGACAGATGGACTGCCACCCATCGTCGATGAGGACGAGTCCCGGAGGACACCCGCCGTCGACGAGACCCTTAACGCCGTCCCATATGCCCTGCGGGTGCACCGTAAGATAGAATGCGTCCCACGTGCACCAGCCAAACTTGTCGACGATGCCAGGAGGGTTTTTTTCCTCCAAGAGATTGAACGTGCCGAGATGGGCTCTCACGACCTTCATCGCCTCCTTCATTAAACTGAACGGGTCTTCGCCGGCATGCAGGTAAACGACGCTGCGGTATGAGGCACCGGATACCTGAGAGGACCCGCTCTCGACGCAGACGTCGATGTTGTCGTCTTCACCCGGTTGGATTGAAGCCCGGAACGGACCCTCTATGATGGGGAGTATGAGGACGTATGGCCGACCCGAGTCCGACTTGTCGAGCATGATCATCTGGGTCTCGGTCTCAAGGTCTCGCCCGTTGGAGCCGATCCAGTGGGTGGTCCACCAGACTTTGAACCTGAAAATACTCATGAACCTTATGTTCTTGAGTTTTCCTATGGGGACCACATGGCGGCTGCTCGCGTCAGCAGCGTCGAAGCCGATGAAGCAGCCGGAGGTGGAGAGGGATGGGGTGGTGGATGTGTAGGAACAGGGAATGGCCGTGATGTTTTCAGGCACGTCGGAGAGAACAACGTGGTCTTTGACCAGT